TTCCCTGATCGCGAGTGCGATCCGATTAATGGGATGGCAAAGCTCCCTGATCGCGAGTGCGATCCGATTTATGGGAAGACAGAGTCCCTGACCGCGGATGCGATCCGATTTATAGGAAGACAGAGTTCCCTGTTCGCGGATGCGGCGTGAGATGGTTTCGCGGTCACAACACTTTATCGGTAACTCGATATGCGAATATAGAACAAAACGGAACTACTATTATCACGCACCGCGATACTCTTATTTCAAATTTCGCCGGAGCTCCGAGGAGCGAGATGTTGCTCTGAACGCTCTGAATCGCGAACCCACTCTAATTCCTCTCGATTCCTCGTAACGACTGTCCGAAAGTTATGCATCGATAGGCTGAGAATATCCGTACGAGAGGGGATAATGTTTAAACAAAATACTCGCCATGAGAGGCGAAGGCAAACTCTCGAGTGGTTTACGACTTGCACGTGTTTATGCTAGGACCGATACGGAAAAACATTAAGAGACAAAGACCCTGCCTCGAGTCGTATTTCGAGGCGTAGGGCTGCTCACGGTGGTCTACGGACCGAACCACTTGAAACGAAAAGGAATTCTCGAATCGTGGTCGAACTGTTTATTCCGCGATTACACATACTCCCCCCGTTGGAGAAGGCCTTAACAACCGTAAATAGGACCGTACCTATAAGAAATTTATGGGCTTACCTCGGGTGCTGGAGATGGGAAATTATTTTAATGCGATGTATCCTGGCATTCAACCTAATCACTCGCTTAATCCGCAAGAGCGTATCGAAACTCGCTCTATGGGATTTTCGAGTCAGGAGGGTGAATGCTTTTTTCTATGTACGGAAATGAAATATCCACACGAGTACACATGCACCGAAATTATCCCGTCTGTAGTGTCCACATGACATGAAACACACAGTCACAATCTACACTAAACACTAAGCGCAGAATGACTCCGATAAATTCTTAAGCTTTTTAACCCTTTACGCAACGCACTTGCCACAGGATAACAGCTAAGAGATACATAAACACTATTCACGCGACATTCCGCGACACGTAACACGCGACGGTTCCTTCACGACTGCTCTAAGATGATTCCAATTGCACGGCGGTCAGAAACAAAATACTATCGATGCCTAAACGCACTGTCGGATCACAAAAAGAAATAACGTATGCTTTCAATAATTTACATTTTACATTTTTAGTTTCCCCAAAGCAATTTTTTACATTCTATTAATTTTCCTGTTCTTTTCTCGAACATGCGTTTTAAAATAATAATGTAAAATAAATATCAAATGGTCACAACATGTTTACGCATTAATAGCGTAGACGCATTTCACATTACACTCCTGCGGAAACCGTGCGTTGTTCTGTTAACTTCCCAACAGTAACTTCTTAGCCGTTATCCTGTGGCAAGTGCGTCGCGTAAAGGATTAAACAGCTTAAGAATTTATCGGAGTCATTCTGCGCTTAGTGTTTTGTGTGGATTGTGACTGTGTGTTTCGTGTCATGTGGACACTACAGACGGGATAATTTCGATGCATGTGTACTCGTGTGGATATTTCATTTCGGTACATAGAAAAGAGCATTCACCCTCCTGACTCGAAAATCCCATAGAGCGAGTTTCGATGTGCTCTTGCGGATTGAGCGAGTGATTAGGTTGAATGCCAGGATACATCGCATTAAAATAATTTCCCATCTCCAGCACCCGAGGTAAGCCCATAAATTTCTTATAGGTACGGTCCTATTTACGGTTATCAAGATGCATCGATCGGCGATGATTAGCTGAGAATATACCGAAAACGTCCGTCGATTCAAGGCGGATTGTCAATTTTAGAGGCAAAAACATCGAATTTTTAAATGTTAATAACTAATTAACGAAGCCCCAAACGCAATTTTCTCTCTCTTCATTTTCGTCTTATTTTTGACCATAGAACACGTCCTTAAAATATTGCCCACTAGTAGGTTAGCCACCCTGTATATTAGCGGCAGTACCTTAAAGTGACGTCTGATCCCAAAATTAGAATTTTCAAATTAAATATGAAATTCACTTTCATCAATATTATTAACTCTTACCAGTGATGAGCAGGAAGCTGCAGATATGTACGTAAGCCTAATGTTTTAAGTCAGAGAATGTAATTGCTAATAATTATATCGATCATGCTCAGAAAAAGTTTTTGCAAAGTATTCATCTATTGATCTTTTACCACTTACACTGCATAAAAAATATTTTTCCTGACATCACAAGTGAAGGAAACAAGTGGTTATAATAAAGTCGGTAGAAGAGTTTTAATGACGTCGTAGGTCATCATAAAAAATTAGTGACCGATACCTGTTCGGGTCACTCGCTCAGAACCGTTTTCATATTTGGTGGAAAAGGTATAATGAGGTTGTAAAATTCGCCCATCATGAAATTCATCATAAAAATGAGTAACTGATACCTATTGCGGCTACCGATCTAAGATCGTCTTTCCCAAATCTGAAAATATTAAAGAGTAAAATAATTTTTCTGAAATGGTGTCCTACAGTTGGGAATTTTTAAATTTGCGAAGGAAGTGATCAGAATTTTTAGAATTCTCTTCATTCGTAATGGAGCATTCGGATTGTAGTGTGAATATTCAGGAAGAAATAATCGCAGTTCTAGAATGGTGACAATAAAATAATGTCACATCAAAATATATGTCACTACATCACACTTCTCTATTGCTTATTTACATCAGGTAGAAAGACCTCAGCTTTCTCGGTACGATCGAACCAAGTAAGCTTATTGACCCCCCTATCTCTTACCCATCTTGAGATCTAAATTCTCTGTGAAATTATTTTTCATGTATTATTCGCCTCACAGGGTCTCCTAAGCTCAGCTATCTCCTCTGACCACCAGTATACCGCCTTCCTCTTTCCTTTCTGCTGTCTACGAGGCATAGTACATCGTAGCTTCGGCGAGGTGTTCCGTCCTTTGTCTCGCATCCGTTTTCTCGGCCAACTCAAGAGATGGAGCCGCAACATTTTGTAGGAACTTGGTTAACTTCGTATGGTCCAGATTCGATGTGTTCAAATCAAGTTATCATCAAGTTATCTTAGTTGCACTACCTTCACTGGTCGTCATTTCTCTTATCTTGATGGCAATATTACTGATGATCGCTGCCAGTAAGGTCGTCAATCACCCTCCAACCTCCCACTCTTGTTGCCACCCTCTCAGAAGCCAGCGTGACATCTGGTATGGAGAAACCGAAACCTGGTCTTCTGTAGGTGGGTGTCGTGCCAGTGTTTAATACCACCAGGCCTAATCCCTTCCGCACAAGTTTGAGGCATCCTCGATTCCACCGTCCTGGCATTAAAATCATCCGATTTCGAATCGAACGATTCGTTACCAAGATCTCGCAGGGCATCCTTCACTGTATCCATTTGTTCCTAGTACAATTGTGCATCGACATTAGGTGACAGATACACACTCACGAAGGTTATGCTGCTCACTTTTGTCCACACGTGAACGATCCCGGATCCATAGCGCTCAATTCTTGCTTTAAGTGCGTAAAAGATTTGTCGCGTTTGCGGTCCACTGCGCGGTGCTCAAACTCTGAAACGGTTCGCATAAGAGCTACATGTCGATGTCCACCTCATTTACAAATTAAGCAAGAAGGTCGTTGACAATACTACATCAGTTCATGTTACCTTGCAGTATTTGTATGCTACCTGTTCGCAGGGGTCGGATATTTTATCCCTCGGCCGGAAAGTGGGGACGACGCGACCACGGTGGGGACCAATAGTTGGTGGGGGTATGCATTGATTTTCACGGTACCGCTGCGGAGAGCTTCGCGAACGCGCATGAGCACGCATGAGGGGAATAGTAGTGGGGATCGAAATACGGGCGAAAAACAGGGGAAGCGAGCGTCGAGGGATAAAATATCCGACCCCTGCCTGTTCGGTTTTTTGTCCCTTTCTTCTGTTGCGTTTTTAGAATAAAGGCACCACGAAGCACATTTCTGCTTGAAAAGATATTTATTATATTAT